GTAGATTTAGAATCATTTCTAATTTTTCATTTATTTTGTCATTTTGTTCTTGTATTTTCTTCCAAAATTCTTCTAGGGTTTTTTCTGTGTTTTCTTTGGTCTGTCTCTGAATCCTTTGAAGATACCTGAAGATAATTCTTTTGAATTGCTTATCAGAGAATTCCAATGCTGCTGCTTCCTCAGGGATGTGTTTTGGGTCTGTATCCTGCTCCCTTTTTCTACCAGTTTATCCTGCTTCTTTGTGTGGACTGTGAGGTCTGTTGTCTCCCAAAAATCATGGCATTGTTGTATTTAGATATCTGTTAACTGTTTGTGAAGAGCAGCCAAATGATTCAGGCTCTTCTTGGTGTTTTTTTATCATTGGCCCATTGGTGGAGAAGGAGGTAGTGGCTTTCGCTCAGTAAGTGAAGTTGCAGGAGGTTTAGGTGTAGCTGTGTCTTTTGGGACTGTTGCTGTCTCCCTGTCAGTCAGACAAAAATTACAATTGAATTACCATCAAAACACTAAAAGCACATGGACAAAAGCACAGCACATAATCACACAGGACAGTCACCAAAAAAGAAAAAAAAAAGGAAAAAGAAGAGAAGAAAACCTGCAATATCTGGGGATCAGGCACTAAGAGAAGAAAGGTAGAGAAGGAGAATAATGAAGAAAACAATGGGGAAAATGCAAAAAGAAAAACAAAGAATGGGGTTAACCATGAGAAAAAAGGGGAAAAAAATCTAAAAGAAAGAAAGATATATGTAGATTTTACAACCAGGAGCAGAGAAAAGAAAACAAGCTGAGAACTGGGACCTGGGAGGGGAAGAATAAAGAATATTAGTAATAAGGACAAAAGTATTAATAATTATAGTAGTTTTAAAACAGACCAGTAAAGCAAACTAAATACCAGAAAAAAGAAAGCAAAAAAGAAATAAAATTAAAAAAGAGAAAAAAAAAAATTGGTGGAGGACAGGGCAGTGCACCCAGTTTCTGTCTGAGCACACAGGCTGGGATGGAGTTCCTGTGTGCCCAGAAGTTGGGTTGGAGTGGGGGATGGCTGCACCTTCGTTCACCAAGCGGGTGTGGGGTATAAGAGTAACAAGAAGCATGTTGCACCTTTTCAGTTGTGCACGTCCGAAGTGTTCTTGGTGTTGCTGGCAAGCAGAACTTGTTCTTAAGCCCCTGGAATCTGCAAGAGTGCTGTCTCTTTAAATATCCAAAATGGTGAAGCCGCTTGTAAACATTAAAAATGGCGCTGCCCTCCAGACTGGCAAAAGTCCACAGCTCATCCCGCCTGTCTCTTTGCCTTCTCCATTTATTCCCTAGCTATCAGAGCAGTCCTCCATGCAGGCCCTGACTAGCAGGACTGATTTTTAGGTTAATTCTGGGGTCCTACCACCACTCGGCACTCTCCAAGCTGTCTGTGCCCTGCTGTCAGGATTGCTCAGGATCACTGCCAGACCGCAGCTCCATCGCTCTCCTTTTTGGTATTTTCATTCAAATTTTTCTTCTAGTTGGCATTTAGTCCACTT